CGAATACAATGCAAGAGCATTCTCCTGGTAGGTCCATTTTGCATGCAAACCCATTTCATCACAGTGCAGACTACCTCAGCTTCATCTCAAAGGTTCATCTTGCATTTCCGGCAATCTGCATTCCATACCGTCCCTTCTTCGCGTTCATGACAACTAGGAACAAATTGAAACCAGTCATCGGTGAACGCCTCTATGAGTGCCGTATGCTCATTTCTTCGGAGGTAGGATGAAACTTTGAAATTATGAAGGCGATTCCAGAGGTCGTGTGGTCTCCTTAACACGAATACGGTAGTCGCTTTGCGCAAAAACGTGGGTGTTGCCAAAGCCCTGACATACCCGGATTTCTTATGAGGCCACCACGAGCGCTCTTGTTAATGATGGTGAGCCCCTAATAGGACATGTTTCTGAAATAAAGCAAAGCTTCTAGCGCACGACTTCTGTACGATAACCTCGCTTCCACTATATCATGCCCTCTTCACGCCATTGTAAGAGCACTGCTCTTACAACGATGCTAGAAAATGCAGGACAACTCAAGGGAGAAAACCTTCATGATTGTCGTCGCAAAAACGTTCGGCACATTCTGGAGGATCACCTTAGCTTGTAGTCAACATTTTGGAGCATTTACAAGGCGAAATCCTGATAAAACCGTAATCACACTAAAGGTAAATCCAAAAATCTTGATCAACATCATAGTTTTGGTGAACTACTTGGGTGTCAGTTTACGAAGGTGTAATTGAAAAAGAAGAAAAAAAATGTGTCACAAACAAGACAAGTTTTGGTGGAGGCAAAGAGATAGACTTCATACAACCATACCCTTGATCCTGGGCGTAATACAAGCAGCTTCGAATGTAGTTGCTCTTGCAGCTCGGGGGAAATCCCGGAATCAGTACCAAAATGACGTCGAGGTTACTCTAGAATCAACTCTAGAAAGGTATTCAATCAGCAGTTCGGAATTAATTCCCTTTTAAATAGAATGAACACCTTCCGAATTTTGAGGGGCTCAAACACGTCAAAGATTACGGTCGTGCCGTCAGTGAGCTGGACAGCTACCCGTCGATCGCAAGCTCTTTGATGTGATGGGTGGATAAGCAGATCTGACGCGACCGTTTGCGCATGACCTGATCGACCCCATATACGGGGTGGACGATAGCTGGAAGTGAAGCTCGTAAAACCAGTAATCCATGATTTCATGAATGAGAATGTTTCCAGTTTCCTTGCGTGTAATTTTTGAAAGGTTATTACCTCTTCAGACGGGTGATTAAGCCATTTACACCTACTTAGTTTTGTGGCCAAAATCTTGAGGGTTCCAGTGTTTTGGTGTCGTGATGAAAGGATAAAGGTTTGGGCCCTAGGTGGATACCCTTTCAAGATGCGCCATGCATTCAACCTCAACTCAGGTCCAGTCCAGTGCTCGCTAAAGGTGCTATGGGCTACGAAATGGTTCAGAAGACTCTTGGATAAGTAATTTTCTTAACAATTATTCGTAACAGTTTAATCGACTGCGACACCATATTCACCACGCACCTGGTCCGGTAGGCATTGAGTCCAGAAATCAATCGGACCTATACCTGATCTTTTCCGATTCTTGAACCTCGGCGCGATATTGGCCATGGGTTCGTTTTTGTACAGAATGGAGTGGCCCTTTGTTACTTTTGAACTGGCTCTATTTATGAGCATTATACAATATTTGGCTCGGTAAGCAGCAAACTCTACGTTGATTGGCTAATGAATTGATTCTCTCTGTTTGTATTAGGTTGGCGGGAAAGTTCTGTCACATTTTTTCAAATTAGACTTTCTTTTTACAGAGAGGCGTACAAGATCAAAATTATACAGCAATGTTATTGAGAGATCCTTGCCAGTTTTTGGACAGTTCGTGGATGCCATCGCTTAACAATGCACGCCGGCGCGACGCAAAGTTGGACATCATCTCAACTTTGACTTGGGCTCAAGTCGTGGAGGTTTTCTCGGCTGTATAACGGTTGAATACGGGAGGCGACTAGCAGTCAGAAAGAGCAATGTCTGGACTACACCGGTGCAAGGGGAGAGCCATCCAGCTCTATTGCATGAAGTACGGCTCGAACTTTTTTGACGGGGTGTGCTGCACCAGCACGTTGAAGACGGACTGTGCCGATGGATTTTGCCCTCTGCTTGACGATTCGCTTCAGATCTCGTAGCTGCCTTGCGTACGGATTGACCGAGGAGGCAGCTTCTTCATCCAGTAGTTTCCCGACCCACCGCTATCTAGAGCTGAGTTTACAGGTACTCCCGAACCTCACTTCGTCATTCGAACCGTAGGCTCCCGCTCTGAAGAGCTAGCGTCGTGGAAGATTGTCTGATGACTGTAGACATTGTCCTTGTGCAGCTCCATTATTTCGGCGTCGACAGCTGCCATGCTGGCGCCAGGGTGGTAGAAGAAAGAGTTGAAGGAAGCGCTTGAAGGGGTCGTGCCGAAGGTAGCGGATAACATTCTTGTC